CGGTTCATGGGTTGGAGCCCTGCGTCAGGCTCTGTGCTGACAGCTTGGAGCCTGGAGCCCGCTTCTGATTCTGTGTCTCCCTCTCTCTCTGCCCCTCCCCTGCTCGTGCACGCGCTCTCTCTCTCTCAAAAATAAATATAAACATTTAAAAGCATCTCAAATTCTAAGATCTAAAATTATCTCTCTTCATCCCACTCACTACTCAGGGTACCATCACTACTCCCTACAAGCTCAAATCACTAGGCCAAGTACAACGTCCTTAGGCCTCAAACCAGGTTTGAAAATGGGCTGACATCCTGTATGCCACCACCCAGCCTGAAACACCATATTTGTGCTGCATTTCAAAGAGCCTGGCCTCCATGGTTCTCTCTTATCATCCAGAGACCTTGGTTAGTAGGCCTTCCATTCTTGGGGAATGTGACTAAATCTATAGGCTCCCTTCCTAGAGAAGCTTCCCTCCTCTCCACAGAACTCAGTATATAATTTTAGGAGGTCGACCAGGCTAAGATTTAACTCCTTTTAATGGACAAATGACCCTGTTTCAAATGAACACAATGGAGTAAAGGGCAATTGTACACCATCACCAACTGTCCTACACACTACCAGCTTCACAATTTTCATGTAAATGAGGAATTCCGGACTGAATTCATCACGACAGGCTGGGTTGTGCCATTTCCAAAATCTGACAGACCTAGGTCCCGCCACTTTCCAGTTCACTAAACCTGGAGTGGCTATCAAAATGCTCGCCCTTGAGAGAGATATACCAAGAAACAGACTCTTAATCATAGAGGACAAACCGATAGTTACTGGAGGGGAGGTGGGTGGGGGGAATGGGTGAAACAGGTGATGGGGATGAAGGAGGGCACTTGTCACGAGGAGCACCGGGTGAGGTAGGCAAGTGTTGAATCACTGTATTATACACCTGACACTAATATGACACCGTATGTTAACTGTACTGGAATTCAAATAAAAACTTAAAAAAATGCTCACTCTCAGTGAGCCAATTAATGCACACCTGCCCTACAACCTAAGAGCAGGTGAAAATGAGCATTCTAAGCCTGAAAGTATTACAAAATAACCCACCCGTTATGCAATAAGCACTTTCATGTAAGTCAGGCTTGGTATTTTCCTAATCAACAAAAAATACTTCTTTGTTCATTTACCTTCATCTTGTCCAACTATAAACTTGTGTGTTTTCAGCAGATTGGATCTCATTCTGGTTAACTGGTCTAAAAGACCTCTACGTGGAATATCATAAGCATTTCTATATGTCTGAGGTTTCAAATCCTGTTTGAAATGGAACAAATAATTTCAGTTACTCCTGAGGCTTTTAATATAGAAATGTAATTCTTAATGCTGCAGTGTATGTAAAATCGTAGTGAAGAGAGGGATATTCAATACAATAACTACCATAGAATTTTGCCAGTGGAAACCTCGCCTTTGCTGGCCTTGTTCCAAATTCTAATATATCCACAACATGCTCAAACCACTGAGAATGTCCCTTCCCAAGTATGTCAACTGGCCTGGCCACCTCTGCCCAACGTGGACCTCCTCTATGGGAAATCTTGGTGTTAGAGGTCCCTGCTGGGCTGGCCAAGACTTTCTCGAAGCTGCACTCCTGCCTGAGACCCTTCACACCCAATTCTCTTCCTCGTCCCCTCCTCTCACAGGTGCTAGATCAGCCGTGTGGCCTGAAACCCCCGCCAACTCCTGTTCTCTCTCCCCTTTATCCTTCACAGACATTGCCCCCAAACATATCTTGCACATTTAATTCCATATTGGCGTCTGCGGGCAGGGCAATTCCTGAACTAAACCGTTGATAAGTATGGAGTCCAAAACAGGATCGTAATTATTTCAAAACTAAAATACTATGGCATAAATGCATCAGACAAGCTCAAACAAATACAAAGTATTTATGTCCACAATTTACCTTGTTTAAGAGCCCTACTTGGAAGCCAGCAAATTCTTTGGTATTCAATTCTGTCAGTCTTGGTGCACTTTCCCCTATGATTTCTTTCAATAGTTTTCTAAAATTTTTACTGTGGGTAAAGGACACGCCACCTCCAGAATGATTTTTCACTTTGATTCCAATCTCCTGGGGAGGTTTCTTCCCCACGGATGCTAGTATCCGTTCTGACTCTAGTTTGGTCTAAAATGAAAGTACATAGTATGTTATGAAAAGATCTATATTATCACTGTTGTTTTTACTACTTAAGAAAGGGAACACTTTAAGAACCCCACAGAACACTTTTCAATTGTAAATCACAGAAAAATGGGTAATTAAACATTTCCCTGTGCTTCTCTGCACTATCACAGCAAACAGGGAGGTGGGGGTGAGAAAAATAACTTACTACATTTTTTCTCTTGTCTAATGGCAAAATTATGATTGGATCATGGAGAGAATGGAAACCATGGATAAGAATTACATTCATAGACATTTAAAATCACATTTTGTTGCTGTAAAATCTAGTCTAAGTCAGTATATTTATTTCAGACCCAGACATAAAGGTTTAAGACTCTGTATTTATAAATGTAAACTAGGGCTAAAATTCAGATTACACAGATTGGCATTACATCTGGAAATAATTCAGCTGTTTGTTTCTAATATCGGACCACCCCCCAAAAAAGTAATGCTTAAATTTAACAAACGTTACCACGCAAATGATTTGTAATATCTGCTCAGTAAGTTTCTAGCTAACTTACAAAAAACTCCTAATGGACGCTGTTAAACCGCATTGATAAATAGTGCCTGACGGTGACTCGTAGCAATATATTGGGCATATCTGGTGATTCACATACATGGTTCAAGAAACACTGGTGACATAGTTGTTATTAAATTAGTAATTAAATTAGTGATTAGAGTGATTACAAATTAGTAATAATTTTTTTCTTTAAAAGAAGGGATTCCACCAGTGCCCATTAAGCCCAAAAGGATTTTTCATTTCTTACGGTTAGGTCGGAGAGATTCATTAATTCTCACTATGATTGGAATTAAGTATGTTTCTTATCTTTGGCACAAAATTAAGTCATGAAATAAGGGATAAGAGCAAATGAAGGGTCTGTTTCCAGAAATGGTCCCGAAATCCCATTTAGAAAACTACACAAGCAACGTGTTCCAGAAGGTCCCAGAACTTGCACGACTCAACTCTGCTCACTATTCTTCCTGGTGGCCATACCCTGCTGACACAGCCTTAAAGGCCTAAGGTAGACATCAAATAAAAAAATATATGTAAATCAACAGGTCAATCAATCAATAAATAACCAAAACAAAACATTCACAACAACAACAAAAATCTATTGGCGGAGAGGAAAGGGGGTCACGGGGACGCTCGGTGGACCAGAAATCTAGGTCTGCCTGTGCTTCCTTTTGCATTTATGAGCACACTGGACCGGCAGGAGCTGGTAAACTCCAGACCACACTTCTGTTTGTGCCGGATCCTAGCAAGGTGTGTCAGCGTCCCCAACTGCGGAGTCATTTTGGTTCTTTAGTGAAATCTGACACTCTTTTGCTTACGGCTGTCTGTCTTCTAAAGGCCCAACTTCCAGACATATGTGACTTAAAGCCTGACTGCCACTGCAGACGCTACCACTGCCCCCTACCTGGGAGCACCCTTGTGCATAAGAAGAAAGTAAAAAGGCTGCATTAGTTTGTCACAGAACGTAACACATTCGTATGGCAGTAACGCTCTACCTCAGTAGCTCTGAAACACTTCCATCCTGCAAGAATGGGCTAGGTAGAGGTGAGAAGTATGGTAAGTAAGGGTGAGTGGAGGATGAGGTACTAATAGAGGGGCAGGCAAGGGACAAGGTGAATAATGGTAAATGAGGTGGGGGTATAAAGGAACGGACGGAGGGCAAGAAGAGAGGAGGTTGAACTCCACTCTTCGGGACCCCAAGGGGCCTATCACCCTCCAGCGTGAGGAACACTGGTTTCATCTCCCCCTCGCCAAGAAAGAGCGTGTGCATATGTTTATTGCCTAAGAACTAATTTCAGGCCAGACGTTGAGGCACACCATGCCTCAGTGTGCCGACCTAAAGAAGGGGGATGCGCTAGCCCAGTGTGATTGGAGGAGAAACTACGTTGAGGATAGACAACATGTGACCCATGAGATCATTTTCTTAAGCCTCTGCCCCTCTTAGGCCGCAAGATGTCAACCAGCTCGTGGGTAGCACAAACTGGCAAGCAGGAGAAACGGCACAGCATCCAATGACACTGACAGACCCTTAGCTGCAGCTTAATGGTGAAGCTAGAAGCCATAGAGAATCACATTATCACTAATCCATAAAGTGGAGAGATATATACACATTTAATTTGAAAAATGACAATTACACTAAAGAATAAGGAAATGCACTTCTGAGGGCAAAGGATTTTTGTTTGTTTGTTTTTACCAATACTACCTGTTGGCTGAGTTTTTTAAGGTAAGAGATAACACTGTAACTAAGTCCACAATCTAAATTATCTGATATCAGATTTGGAGCTCCCATCATCCTTAGTGCTTTCTTTAATGGCTATAAGGAAACAAAATACACAACAGTAAGAATAGAATAAATCTTAAAATACTCAAAGTTCAGTTATAAGGGGCAAAGGGACATGATTCATTTCTTAGAAGTCAAGGTGCTGCACATAAAACCAAACATGGAACATTAAAAAGTGGCAATGGAAATAGCAGAGGAGTAAGGAGCAGAAAGTAAAAAATAAAAAGTAAAAATAAATAAATAAATAAATAAATAAATAAATAAATAAATCAGAAGAGAGTAGGATAAGAAGATCAAGAAACAGCATATTCAAACAGGTAAATTGCTTTCAGTCTTAATTCCCAAGTCATAAAGTCATTTCATATTGCATTTTATCGTGCACCCCATTCCTGCCATGGTAAATACTAACGCACCCCAATTTCGCCTTCCAGTGACACCAACAGTACCATTTAAGATTCTGCCTTTTCACCTCTAGAAACTTGGCTTAAGGTTTGCTACATCCGCCTCTGAAACGATTTTGGTAATCTTGATTTCGATTACATGACCAGTTCAAAAGCATCACAAAGATTTTTCTCAAGTTGTAAACACCCAAATGAGGCCAAGTAACTTTTGATTCTTTTTGGATTCCCCTCCCCCAACCAGCGGCCCTGCTTCCTGCTGTGTCTAGAACACATTTGACAGGCAATTGGCACATATGCCGCCTTCCAGAATTTCTTCTTTCAGAGGGAAACCCCACATTGAAAATTTCTAGAGTTAAAAAGGGAAGTTGACATTCATACACGAATCCAGACATATTTTTCACAAATTCCAAAATTCCAATTTCACAAGGTTGCTTTTGCTAAGAGAAACAGAGATGTGTTTTTATAAAAATAACCATGGCAGTTAAAGGAAATAAAATAAGCAATTCTCTTTTGTGCCACCATGACATCTCCAAGGTCTTACGCATAATTCGCGAAGACGGTGGCGATACAGATAGTTAGAAATTAAAAAATCTGTCTCATTTCGGGGGTCAAGTTTTTGGCTCACTGACATTTCTTGCAACAAGAATCATCACTGATACAGTTAATGCACATATACGCAGAAATACATACTAATAAGTAGTATGGAGGCAGAGTTTTTAAGTAGCTGTCAAAAGCCTGTCGCCACTTCAGATTTGGCTTAAGCTTGTGAACTTTAAACAAGTCATCTGCAAGAGAAAACCAAACAAAATATTACGTTATTCCAATCCTAAATTCCAAGATCTAAATCAAGCACATCCATTATAGCATTTCCTAGAAATCTCAGTGTAATTAAAACATTACATTAGACAAACCTTTCTTTGGAACTTATTTGATTGTCTTTTTTTTTGGGTGCTCTTTGCCAACATTATATATAGCATTTTTCTAGCAAATAAAACAAATTCTCAAGTTACCTACGCCTCTTCCATGTGTGAAGCTACATAAAATCTAGTATTAAAGCACCACCTCTGAGCCACAGGAAATATTTTTCTGACCTCCTACATGCTGGTAACACTACTGTAGTTATGTGCACTGAGGGGGAATCCACGGACATTGGTTGATAAATGGAGGCTGTTACGGTGCGCCTGGGTGGCTCAGGTTGTTAAGGGTCTGACTCTTGGTTTCGGCTCAGGTCATAATCTCACATGAGTTCAAGTCCCGCCTGGGGCTCAGCACGGAGCCTGCCCAATTCTCTGTCTCCCTCTCTCTCGGCCACCTCCCCCCGGCTCTCTAAATAAATAAATAAATAAATAAATAAATAAATAAATAAAGGCTGTTAAAGCAACAACAAAAAAATTAAACTCACAGAGAACAGATTGGTGGTTGCCAGAGGCTGGGTGGGGGAGAAGGGGGCAGGCGAAATGGCTGAAAGTGGTCAAATGATACAAACTTCCACTTACAAAATAAAGTCCTGGCGACTATAGTTAATAATACTGTGCATATTTGAAAGTTGCTCAGTGAGTAGATCTTCAAAATTCTCATCACAAGAAATTTGTGACTCTGTGTGGTGATGGATGCTAACCAGTGTTCCCAGTGTTCTTTTCACAATAGGTATACAAATATTGAATCATTATGTTGTACATGGGAAACTAATATAATGTTACTTGTCAGTTATATCTCAATAATGAATAGAGAAGTAAACAGTGAGTGTTACACTTTTGGCTGAAAGGTCAAGGTAAGAAGCTTTACAAAGTATATGAGAACAAAAGCAAAGCCTCTAACTTTCAGGCAGAGACCGCAAACTCCATATTATGCTTTGGATCCTCTTTAATAAGTCTATACTTTGTATAGTCCCCTCCCCCCCACCTTCTTCATTTCTTTCATTTCCAAACTTTGGGTCTGTCAAATGCTAGTTACCAATTGGGTCATGGCACTAGCAAAAGCTAGTAGAGATGTTAGGTTGTAGTTCAAAACTCTGTACAACTAAATATATTCTCTTGAATACCGTGTGTGTTAATACCACTAAAGACACTGTCCTTAAGTAAGCAGATCTATCTTTTCACACTTAAATTTAATTGTTTTAATAATCTAAATGCATTCTATACACTACAGGAAAATTTTCAAAATATGTCATTATTCCCTTCTGAGGGAAAGAAAAAATATATTTTATATAATAATTCAAAATCAATAGCCCCACACGTCAACAGGAGCCTGCCACGCTTACTATAAATACCAGAGATATTTCAAATCCATCTTCTATTTTGTTTTTTCAGGTTTCATTGGCTCTTATCCAACAAAAATCCAAATGCTTTACTTCCAGGGACAAAAGCATCCCAACGCCACGTGCATAATTTCTCTACGATTAGGGCTATTCTTTGAAATTCTGAATTACTACAGTTAAGAAAAACAACTACACATTTTCTTCTTTTTACTGCTATAATAAATGATTCACCCCTGCCAAAACTAATTTAAATGAATTTACAAAGTCATAAAATGTAGGTCTTTTGTTCTTTTGGTGCAGGGTAGAAAGAACAAAGAAAACCAGATCCGAAGAGATTTCTGGCTCATTGTAACATGCAGGTCCTTTAAAGACCATTCATATCTTGACAGAAAGGAATGAGAGACTGTGGAAATATCCTGTTACACTTGGGCCTTTATGTGGAGTCTGTTGGGAATGAAGCAGAGTTTTGGAAACTGACACATTGAAAGACCACAAGACTGGGGAGACATCTAGATATAAACAGATTAGATAGTGAAACGAGAATCAAGAATACTCTTAACATTTCTAGCAATGCCGACTGCAATGATTCCACCAATTAGTCTAATTCAGTCTAATTATTTCTTGCCGGAGTTTTTGAAAGGGGGGAAAGAAGAGAGAGAATGTTCCACAATCTAGATTAAGGGTAGAGAGCCACTGGGGTAGCACCCTTTTAGTCACATTCTCCGCAGATCAGTGAATGATTTCCATGGCATGAGGTCGCCATTCACACGCCATTCTCCACAATGGGACCCCAAAGACGCCATAAACAACCAAGTCGTCAACATTTGAAAGACGAGGAGACCAGAGGATAGGAAAGTGAAGTGATAACTGCTGACACCTCAAAGACTACTGACATTTTCTCTTCCATTCCTTTCTCCCCATTTCCGGCAGCAAAAAAAAAAAAAAAA